CAGGCTGGTTCTCGTTAGCAGCACGGCTCATTCAGTGGTGTCCCTGCAGTAATTGCAAGTGCGAGCACCTCAGCAGCACTCCCACTATGATTTATGGGCTGAAACCGCTCTCCCCCGGCCTCTTCCCACCCTCCCCACCTGCCGTTTCCCCGCGGCCGAGGGGGAACATATGCTCCTCTCACAAGCAGCCTTTGTCCCTCCCTGCGCTGCTTATTAAAACCACGTGTCGGGGGGGGCTCCGGCCCCGGAGCGGGGCCTGCCCATTTACTCTCCGACAGCCTGGAGAGAAGCAGGGAGTCATTTCCTCCGCTTGGTTCTTCTTCCCCCATCTCCAGCCTTTCCCTTTCGGGGCCTCGTCCCTCTGCCGTAGCCTCCCCTGCCCTTATTTTCAGTGCACATCTCGCCTTGCAGCCCATATTCTGCCCCCCCATTTTCATGGGAGAGGCCCTGGTGTCCCAGGGAGAAGGATGGCCAGGCAGGGTAGGGCACGGGGATGCAAGAGGTCTGCCCTCCCTGCTCCGGAGCGGAGCCGGCGTGGCGGGCATGCGGCGTAGGAGCCTGTATCTGGTTGGAGGCAGTGACCCTGGTGCTCCTTACGCTGCCTGCCTTCCCCCCACGGCACTGCCGTCTTTAAGCGCCTATGGGGGCTATGCAGAGGCCGCAGGAACCTGGGATACAAGGATGACGCTGCCTTTCCTTCCAGGAGCAAGGCAATGTCCCACCCGGCGCATCGTCCTGGGGGTCATGAAAGACCATGGTAGGGAGCTGTGGCCGGCACGACTCGGGGACAGCGTCTGCACGCGGTGGAAGAGCTTCTCTGAGCGCCCGGAGCCCACAGCCGTGCGTGGGAGCGGGTGATTGAGGACTGCAGGGACCAGGAGGATGGGGAGGAGCGGAGCAAGGACACGCCGCCCAGCCTGGATGCACGTCGCTTGGCGGCTTCAGTGACCCCCCTGGAGCCCTGGCCCTGTTGCCTTTCATCCAGGGCTGAGGCCAGGCAGCGAGGAGGCAGGGCCGGGACCCACATTCCCGCTCCATCTGTAACAACACGGCGCGTCTAGACTCCTGCGTGCAGAACATTGCCTGGCCTTGTTCAGCTGAGCTGGCCGGGACTCGTACCGGTCCCCCCGCGGGGTGGTGCCGGCACAGGAACGGGCACCTGGGAGCTGGCCCAGGGGCACCACGCCGACCGCACAGCCTGTTCCTTGGCTGCTTTGAAGGCAGCTCCCCGTGCACAGAGAAACCCTTATAGACGCACTGGTTTCCATTTTGCAATAACAAGTGGAGAGGGCCTTACAACTTTTCCCTCCCCGCCCCGCTCCCCAGCCAAACGCTGGCCTGATCAAGGGAGCCCGGAGATGCGAAATGGGTCCCCGCGGGGAGAGCGCGTTCTCCAGCTTACGAGCAGACGTAGCGGCGAGACGGGTCTTTCAAAGGCTGCGCTGCGTGTGCACGTGCTCTGCGAGCTACAGCCAGACAGCACCAGCTTGCCAGACTCACCCTGGCCCTTTCCCCTTGCCCGCCGGTCTCCTGTCCCTCGCTGCTGAGATCAGGCCCCACGCGCTTGCATGCTGGACTGCCACTTCGCGCACTTGGCACCTGTCTGGGAGCCCTGTGACTGCCCGTGGGAGGATGGGGGGAAGGCAGAGATCCGGCTCATCACCTGCTTCCTTGTATTTGGCCCCTTCTGGGATGAAACAGCCATGAGTTTCCTTTGCCTATCAGTGCAGCTGGAGGCCTTAGCAAGGGCAAAGCAAGACAATACAGCTGGTAAGGTTAATCTGGCTTTAATAATGCAGTGAAACACCTGGGGCAACCTGGGGATCACAATACCATGGGCCATTTCAGGATGACAGGCACCGGCAGAGCTGCTAAGTCCTTCATCCAGCCCCCGGGAAGGAGCGTGAATAGATGCACCTGTAGCGTTGAAACAGGGCGAAGGAGTCCGGCTGCACTGGCCTCGTCTCCCCTGGACACAGGCTGCATCCATCCAGCATGGCGGCCGCATTTGCTCTATGAGCCTGGCGATGTCGTCCTGGGTATGGAGGCTACCTTCTTGTCGACACTGGGCCAGCTACTCAGAGCCCTTCCCCTATAAGTGGGGCTGCTTTTGCACACTTGCTCACAGCCACGACACCTGTATTGGCCAGAGCTTGTGATGTGCACCTGGCCCACACATGGCTCCGTGACCAATGCCGCACACAGGTACGGTCTTTCCTGCGTACAACATGCACCAGAGTATAAGATACCACCCCCTCCAGCACATGCACGCTACTGAAAAGAATAAGATTGTGTTTTTTGGAGTGCCCCAGCCCTTCCCATTTCCTGGCAGACCCTGGGGTGATTTTCCCTGGGCATTGGCATGGGGTGTGCTTGGGGAAAGAGGGTAATGAGCCAGCGGATGGACTGTGCCAGGGACAGCAGCCCCGAGCCATCTGCATCCCCAGGGGTTCCCATCCCTCCAAGCCTACACTGGTCCCTACACAGTCGGAGGCAGCCCAGCTCGTCCCACGCGTCGCAGCTGCGCCTCTTCCCCTCCGTCCCCTGGCATTCGTGCAAACCGCAGTCTCGCAGCATCCGCAAGCCAAACCCAACCAGCCCGTCATTACGAGACCACCCGTGTGGCCCCGGGCTCCAGCCGGCCTCGCGGCGCAGGACAGCCGCGCTCCCCGACAGCCGCAACATGCGTTTCATATTCTCCCTGGATGCGTGCGGACTTTCCCGCATCTCTGTTTATAGAGGGTGACACGTCTGGGGGCAGCCACCGCCGCGCAGGCTGGCACCACTCACCGCAACGCTGTCTCGGCCGCTCCCCGGTCATTTTGAGGCCCAGGTGTTGTGAGCCATGGACGAGGTAGGGAAGCTTGCAGTTGTGCCGAGCGGTTTTGGAGCAACCGGGTGATCGGTCTGAGCAGCTCGCTGGGGATACAAGCAGAGAAGGAGCGCGACTGTCTCTCTCTGGGCCCGGCGGATGTTTAGCCACATGTGATGGCACATCGGGGGAGTGCTGATAGCCAGGAGAGCGACCCGCCCTTCTCTGTCCACAGGGCCAGGACCAAGAAATCGTGGGGTGAAACTGCGCCCTGAGAGATCAAAGTTGGGTCTTAGGAAGATCCCTCTAATGATAAGGCTGGTGAAGCCCTGGACTGGACTGCCCAGAGCAGTGGTGGGATGTCTTTCATGGGAAGCTTTTAAATACAGGGTAGATGCACGTGTCTGGGAGGGTTTTGACAGGGAGGATCCTGTCTTGAGCAGGGCGTCGGAGCAGGGGCAGATACCTGCCCTGTTCCCTATGAGTCAATGAGGGACTGTCCAGGTCGCCCCTATCCGGCAGGGAAAACTCCCCTTGGCCTCAGGGCAGCAGAGCCAGACCCACCCCGAACGCTTGTGAACGTGCCACGCGCACTGCTGTGCTCTGATTGCTGCTTGTAATTATTATTTATCTGCCCGGAGATCTGGGGAGTGAGCTAAGAGCGCCTAAGGCAACATCTTACTGGCTCCGAAAGGATTGGAGGAGCTGTTTTTTGGCTGCTAGACGTCGACAGCTATTTACTTTCCCCTTTACCATCCTGGGGGGCGAGACTTTGGTTGGTCGGATGTCATTGAGCCCATGAAACAGCTTCATGTGAAACAGCTGGTGGCATCCCCGAGTGATGGGGTCACGGGGAGGAGGTCCAGACTAGGCCGTGTTTGAGGTGTGCCCCGTGGCAAAGCTGGACGCGGCCCGAGGAGGCCACTCCATGACCCTGGCCTGCGTCCCGCTCTCCATGCGCCGTGCACGCTCGCAGCGGCAGGGCTCGGGCGCGTGATGGATGGCGTCGCTCTGGGAGCCAAGGCTTTCTGCCACTAGCCATAACGGGGAGGCCTGGCTTCTTTCCAGCATCCAGATGTTTTGCAACAGCAGCCTTCCGCTTCTCCGGGGGCCGGCGTGGGGGAGAGCGGCCACGCCAGCCGGTCCGCGGCTGCCTGGGCATCCGGAGAGCCCTACCTGCTTTGCCCCGGAGCTGAGGAGCCTGGAGATGAGGGGTGAGATCCTGGAGAAGAGCCCCCTTCATGCCCTGGCAGGAGGATACTTTGCTTCCTCGGGTGGGTGGCGGCGAGCAGCCACTGCTTGTCCCACGCTGCGTCCCGGAGATGATGGATCGAGAGGCTTTCATGCTTCTTCTGGCCGCCGTCCCTTAGCTTGTCAGCACAGGAGTGCAGCCCCTGTTCCTGAATTCACAGCTTTCATCCCGGTTCAGCAGTGTGACGCTCCCAGGCGCTGCAATCAAGGAGCCTGGGGTGACCCTCAACAGATGAGGCGAAGGGGTCTGCCCCCCTTGCTTTTGAGGCATTTTACCTCTCACGAGTCCCCAAAAGAGCTTCCTATGAGCATTGCTGGGGGGGCTGAAGGCCTTTTCTGCCCCTTTCCGTCTCTCGCTGGCAGGTAGGGGAGCATCCCCTTTGCTCCATGCTCCACCCCTCGCTCTTCTAACTGCAGTTTCTTCAGTCCAGTTGCATTGCTGCACTGCCGTCACCGCCCCATGCCGGGGCGCCGGGGTGCTGGAATGGCCGCAACAAAAAAAGAGTCAAATTAGGCACCTGATTGCACACAAATTAGGTGCCTGATTGCACCCCCTATGCTGGGGGGGGATGTTGCCTTAACATCTGAAGGCAGGTGCACTAAGGCAGGCCCCAGCTCCGAAATCTGGGCTCCCTTCCACGTGTCCCACGCAGTCACGGGACAGACCCGCTCACACGACCACGGGCAGCTTGTGCAGAGATGGGCAGAGGTCTAGGCGGGGCTGCTCCCACTTGAAGCAGGGGTTGGACTAGTTGTGATCTCCGGAGGTCCCTTCCCACCCTCGTTTTCCATGAGTCCGTGAATCGATGCTGTATAGACGGACGTAACTCACGCCCGCTATCACTTAAGACGTGCACGCAGCTCCCGCACCTGCAATCACTGGGATGCTCACAGAGGCGTGCTCTCTCCCACACACATGCACATACACGCACATGCACACATTCAGTCTGCGCGCGCACACGCATTCATGCACACATGGGTTTCTGGCCTTGCTCAGAGCACAGACAGGCCTACCCAGATCAGACCCCTCGCTGGGAGCCAGGATAAATATTTTCCGGTAAATTACTAGCACTAATAATTATAAAAATCTGGACTTGTGACGCGGAGCCAAGGGAAGGCTTCCAAGCAGCTGGTGAGCACATGACCTATTGTACCCTTGCAGGCCTGTGTGCAGCCCCCCCGCGGCACCAGTGCCCGGCTCTGAGCAGCCTCGGTCCCAAGGACCCAGAGGGGAGAGATCAGGAGGCCAGAGGGCTGATTACCTTCCCCCTGGATACCAGCTGCTCTTACTGGTTCCAGTGAAGGGGAGTTACCGAGGGCAGTCGTGTGCACAGTAGTGTGTGTGTGGGGGGCTTTGGCATCTGCTTCTGGGGTGGTCAGAGGCTGCAGAGCTGCATTCCCGCTTGCTGGGGCAGGCTGCAGCAATGGGGGAGGTTGCAGTGGATGTTTTCTCTGGGGCAGCCTGGCTTTGGGGCTAGGTTTTGTTGCTGGGAGCATTGCAGGAAAGAAACCCTCTGCTCCAAGTGTGATGCGGTAGGTGCAGGAGAGGTGGGATGGCGCGGGCTGACCAGCCATGAGACTGGGACTGGGACGGGCTCTGCCACATCTGGCGCTGGATTCATTTGAGCCAGAATCTTCCTCATGACGGCTGCCTCCATTCCCTGGCTGGCTCTGGCCATTGTGGACCACTGCCCAGGCCACCGGCCGCTCCTAGAGTTGCTCCTGACCTTGGCACTGGGCCCTAGGGTGGCAGAGAGGGGGCAAGAGCAGGTGGTGTGCAACCCCAGAGAGCAGGGGTGTGAGGGGGATGTGCAGGGTCTATAAGCACGAGCACTGGTAGTGGGGGAGAGTTATGGATCTGATCCTTTGGGATGGAGACTTCTTGGCATGAGATGAATTGAACCCATCCCCGGGGTCTCTGGTGCCCTGGGAGAGGTTTGGGAACAGCTGCGTCTGCCACCGTTGCACAGTGAAATTTCCACTGTATGAATATTAGCATTGCTTCAAGATCCCAGAGCTCAGGGCTGCCAGCACTTGGCCGAAGGCGGCCCCTGCCCCAAGCCGCTTGCAGACCAGGATACAGCCAGGCTAGAAAGATGTCCCAGCTCCATTTAATGCTATCCCTTGTCCTTTCACTGCAAACGGGAGGAGAACATGGGTAGCTGCCTAAGGGGTTGGGGCTGTGCTGATGTGTCCGAGGCCTGGAGAAGAAGCTGAGCCCCGAGGAAGTGGTGGCTGGGCACCCTGGGATTAGGATGGGGGTGGGGGCAGTGTGGGCATGTCGGCCCTGGGAGCCCACAGCTGGACGAGGGAGAGGACGGCAGGGAGTACGGAGGATGGGGAGCCCTTGGGCGTGCAGTGGGGACAGGCTGGGTTTACTGCTGGTGAGGTGCAGCAATGCAAGCAGGAGGAAGGGGAGAGTAAACCTAGGCACACAGTATCTCAGATCCTGGCTCCAAAGACATCAGATACTTGCGGCCTGTGGAGAAACCCACTGACTCCACCACGACTGCCGGTGGAGGGGGTCTTCCAGCATGCATCCGGCTGCAGGACTGTGGCTTAGGGCTGCGCATCTCAAGGTCGGGCCCTGCGCTTTCCTGCACCCCGTGCAGCTCCGAGCACATGCCGACTCCAGAGGACAGCTGGGAAAGGAGGGCATGGCTCATTTCTCCCTCCAGCGCAGGAGGCCTTTGGCTGGCAACGAGAAAGAGAGACGCGCGTTTCCCTTTTCTGCATGGATTCAGAGAAAAAGAAGATGGTTTACAGGTCAGTGCAGAGTCTTTCCTCCCTCAGCTCCTCTGGGTTCATGACGGACGATGACTCAGGCAGTAAATAGCAGCGGTATCTGAAGCTGTGCACCCCAGTTGGCTGAACTCCCCGCCTGGGAGGACTTCACAAGAATGGAGCTCGGCCTTGAGTGGGACTTATGCAGAAGGTTGCAGACTCCTCTCCACACAAGACATCTGCAGAAGTGGTTTTGATTTAGGCTGAGTGCTATGGAAAGAGCGCGAGGGAGAGAACAAGGGATGGAAGAAAGCCATGGGAAATGGAAGAACAGGATGGAGGGCTGCTGCACGTCTGGAGAGGAGGAGCTCAAGGCATTTTCCAGATGCCCACTGATTTTTAAGGTCAGAAGGGCCTTGAAGGAATTCAAGCCTCCAGCCTTGCCAGAGGCAGGCAAATGTTATGTTCCCCATTTTACCAGAGAAGGGCTTGGGCAAGCGTCTGTGCCGAAGTCGTGACGTGTGAACTTGCACTCGGATCCACCTGACTCCCAGCCGGAGGCTGAGTGCAACGGCCCATGCACGAAGCATTGCTCTTGTTTTCCAAGGTGCTGCTGACTTACAGCACCGGCGGACTTGAGGGTGAGCAGCACCCCTGGAAATCAGACCCCCCCAGGTTCATGTCAGGGAAGCCAGAGGGCCTGATTTGCAAGCACCACGTTCATGGGAGCCCGGCAGTGTCCCAGATCCTGTCCCCGGTTACAATCGAGCAGCCCAAATGATTGGGGTGGCTTTGTTTTAACATCAGTGCAAAAGGAGTCCAGTAGTGCCTCACAACCAGCCCCTCCTGGCACCAGCCAATCATTAGCATTTGACTGTGTGATATCACCCGGGAAGTACCGTCCTCCAAAGGCGGGACTTCCTGGAATGACCCCCACGATGGACAAGTGGAAAGCTGGAACGGACACGTTCATTTGGATTCACAGCTGAGCGGTACCGAGTTGCAGTGCAAGCCCCTTCCCTATCGTTAAGCAAGGACGTTCGTTCATTTGAGTTCCAGCCCGCAGAGGTTTCTGGCTCGGTTCGGATTTAGCTTTCTGCAGTCAACAGGAAATGGGAGATGGATTTCTTGGTAAACTGGGTTTTCTATAAACAGTCTGAGGGCCTGACCCTGTCCATGCCGGAGCAGGGAAGAGCAATAGCCTGGGAAGTTTATATCTGTTTATGACATTTTTCTGCTCTCGTTTCCTCTGGCTGCATTGCTCCTTGGAGCTCTTCTTTGCCAGGCTTTTAACCTTCAGGAAAATCTCTAGGCAGCTGAATGCAATTAGTTGCACTGGCGTGTGCTGACTTCTTGATCAGGTAAACTCAGGCGTGCTCCATACTACACACGTGCAAACTCCAAACACGTTCATTATATGTGAGCAACCTAGCACGCACACACGGACTGCACATCAGCTCCCTCTCAAAAATATACAGACACAGGCATGCCATGTCTGGTGTAACTAGTATATGCCCTGGATGTGCTTCTGGTAGCCCTGCAAACCAGGCAACGAATGGCTTTTATAATGGCCAGAATTGGTGTAGGTGATATCTTTTATTGGCCCAACAGCATGTTTGGGATAGACATAGATGAGCTTCGACTCTCCTCCCATCAGGAGGATGAAGCCCTTGTGATTGTGTTCAAGGGGCTGTTGGGAGGAGAGGGGTCTCACTTAGTCATAGGAACAGAAGAGCTGCTCAGACCATCGGCCTGTCTTCCCCAGTCTCCTGCATCTCATAGCTTCATCGTAGTTGTTAGGGGCTGGAAAGGACCATCGGGTCCAAACCTCCTGGACATGGGCAGGAAAGATATCTCACAGGGGCAGAGAGCAGAGAGTGAACTGGGTCTGACCAGGGTTTTTCCCCCTGTTCCTCTTGCAGCCTCCAGCACTTAAGGTCTAGGAAGGTCTCATTCAGAGGCCGTGCTGTGCGCTCCCACGTTCGATAGCGACTCATGCCCCTTTCCTCCAAGCATGTGTCCAAGCCCTTAAATCTGGCTAAAAGTTGCTCTCAACCAGCAAATTCCCTCCTTGGAGAGTGGCTTCCCCCTCCTCACCACCTCCTTCCTGCTCACCTCTCCCCCTGGGTCCCGGGTCCTGGGGGAGCTCACGTTTTGCAGAAGGCGTTTTCCACCTCTGCGCAGCTACCTGGGCCTTCATTCGTACACTAGCGGCACGTGGCTGAAAGGGCAATGCCTGACTCATGTACCATGACCTCTTCCCCCAGCTCCTTGGCCCACCCTAACCCTTTTGGTGTCCATCTTCTGGGAGCCTCACGTGGGGAGAGGGGGCTGGAAAAGCCCCAGGGAGGATTTCCTTCCTGCTGATTCCCAGAGACAAGGTGGGACAAGGCTGGAAATCCTTGCCAAGACCGACTAGACGTTAACCTTACAGGGGAGGGCAGCAATGCCAGAGATGCCTCCCATCACCGACACTTCATGAAGGAAGGGGAAAGGTCCCATTGTATCCGTTAGAGATAAATGAACCCGGCTGTTGCTCTCTGATAAGGAGCCTTTTTTGCACGGGGATCCACTGGGACGTTGTATGCAGGCAGCTTGTTAACGAGGCTTTCCGACGAAACTCGTTGTCGGAGGAGAAGGTGGCAAGTGATGGTTTCCAAGTGCTGACAGATTTGAAGCCCTGCCCTGGCGAGGTGGAGGAGGCAATCGTGGCTGTCCACGAGGAAAGAGATCGCATGTCCCACCCCATCCCTCCCCTTGGCTATCTGAGGAACATAAGGGGGACGTTTCCTGCAGTCAGCTTTCTTGTGGGGCACCTGCCCCTGGGCGGGAGGAGTTTGCACCCCAGGCTGTCGCTCTACCGGTCGAGAAACTCTGCTGATGCCCATGTGGGGAAGCACCGAGAGGCCTGGCCTGGTCGCTAGGTCCTCTGTGCCGGCTGAGGCCGGGTAGGCTAACCCCTGGGAGGGAGGGCAAGCATGCCTGCAGCAGGCTGGGTGCTACTTCCAGCAGCGGGGAATGGTGCCCAGAGCCTGTGCGTGCTCCTGTGACTTCGGTGCTCTGCTGCACTCGAAAGCAGCCCCTTTGCCCACCTGCCCGTACTGTGCAAGGGTTCGGTGCTTTCACGTCAGGCTCACAACAGGCTCTATCCCTGCTTTGTTGCTGCCTAAGCTGCTGCTGAGCTAAAGCTACTCACCCAGGGCCAATACAGGATGCGAGGAGCATCATCAGCAGGTGGTTTGTGTTTTGTACAGCGCCTTGCACAACAGACAACCTGGTAAGGGTGCACGTTCCCAGGGCGAAGGAGAAGAGGACAGCTAGCCTTGGGGATATCTTCTTAGCTAGTCAACTGTGCTGAGTTGGGCGCTTGTACACGTGACGTGTTGTTTCGATGCACGACACGAAGCGGCACCAAAAATCCCTGTTTCGCTAGGTTAGCGGCGTGTGAAAACACATGTTGACATCTTTTGATCATGGTAGGTTTCGATTTATTGTGGTAAATTAGACCACCTCCAACCTGTTTTGGTGGCTGGGGTGAGCTCCCCTCTGTGCCACCCGTGTGATTTCCGTGTTTGTGGTTCTCATGTGGGAGCCATGCAGCGCTCACCTGAGCCGTGTAAATGCCTGCGGGGTAGGTAGGCCTTCCTGGAGACCACATGTCCATGTGTTTGCTCAGGGAGGGGGAGGCGAGGAGCCCCTGAGGTTTGGCCCTGCAGCTGGTCAGCGCTTCCCGAGAGGTCTCCAAGACGGGGGTTCGTATTTTTGCTCCTTCCAAACCGTCCCGCTCTCCTCCTGGATGGGAGCCGCGTGCGTTGCCGCTTGTAACTCAGTTCCTCATGTTTCAGAGCGCTTTGCCGCGGGCCTGGCGTTAACAAATCAGACCTTTGTTGGGACGCAGGCCTCCAATTTCTCAGCAATCAGTGCTTAAGAAAATACAGGCTGACCCCAGGGGCGAGGGGGGGCGGAGGAGGCAGGGAAGGCAAGCCGGGAGCAGGGGATCTTCAGCTGGTTCTCATTAATCGTGGCTCATTCATTGAGATCCAGCTTCCCCCTTCCATCTTCCACTGAGGCTCATTATCCTGCCTTCAACTTCATTGCAATGCTCAGCTGCCCCCAGGCAACTGTAAGGAGCAGGAGGGCTTTTCAGTGAGGAATCCCTCCCTCCATCCATCCATCCATCCTTCCCTTGGCAAAGCCCTCTTCAGCCCTGCTCCAGCATCCACCTCCACCATCAGCCCTAGAGATGAACCCACTGACTCTCATCTCAAAGGACTCGTGTTCTTTCTCACAAGCCCCGATCCCTCCAAAGGCATGCGCACGTGCATGCATGCACACTCTCCCCTTTCCTTGCCTTGCACACGCCCCATAGCGTGGTGGGCGGTGGAGAACACTACTCTGCATTGTGGAGCTAAGGAGACAAGGCCCTTAGACAAACATGAGGTTAAGGCGGGGGCAGTTGGCTAGACAGCGGGGGTGACCCCGAAGCCCCCCAAGGGGCAGGCCGTCATTAGGAGCTGGGGGCACGTCGGGGCATGATCCTGTTTGCAGATGGGAACAAAGGGCCTTTCTTTCTGTTTCTGCTCCGAGGGAACTTGGCTGGTCGAACAAAGGGGGAAGGAAGCCGCTTGCGTCAGAGACAACGGCGAGATGGGTTTTTCGGAAGAGCGAGGAGCGTCGAGGGTCCGGGGGATGAATGGGGAATGTCTCGCCGGACTCGCTTGTCTGACAACTCCTCTGAAAGGACAGAGACCCTCCGAGGTGGGTAAAAGACTCCCTTGTGAAGGACCTCTTGCCATATGTCCACAAGCAGGAAGCCCGGCTGGCTGTTGGGCCAACCCATGCCATGCAGCTTGGCCCTGGGGCAAGATCTCCAGATTCCTTCATTGCCTTGCATGGCGGCGCAGCTAGGACCCCTAGCAAAGTTTGCAGCAGAGTCTGAAATGCCTCCTGCATTCGGTCCGGGGTGGATCTCAGCCATGCCCCCGGTGGGGAGGACATCGGGGTATGTTTGGAAACGTCACCCTAGTGCAGGGGAGAGGATTGAGCTATCCAAATATGCATTGCATCTGTCCAGCTTTGAAGCATCCTTCTTCTTGCAAATAAAAAGGCCTTTCCGCTGTGAGGATGGTACCCTGGACCGATACCCCCATCTACTCAAGTCTGCCCCAAAGTAAAAGCCTGCAATGGCCAACCAGATACCCAGCTGACCAAAATAGAAACGCCATGAGGAGAGCTCCCCTTGGCCAGTGACTTCAGGATTCCTCTAAAGTTGGGAAGGGGCTCGGGGATCATCCTGACCTGGGGGCAACTAGTATGCCAAGACAGACATAAGCAAAGCTGTCTCGAGAGAAGTACATCACACAATCCCCGAAGCCCTCGATTCGGCATTTACATCTGTGTATATTTTCAGTACGGGCACGTGCAGGCTTTGCTGCTGATACGCCCCTCGTGTTTCCGCAGGGCAGGCGTGTAGACTACGTGGGATTTCGGTGTCGTTGGACCTAAATGCGTCTCCCGCACGTTCTGGAATAGCTTGGTGGGTGAAACTCAGACAGAGCTGTGCTCCGACAGAGCAGGTGGTTTGATCAACGCTGAAAGGCAACATTGGGTCAGTTTTGCTCGAATTTTATTTAGAAGGCAAATTGTGGGTTGGGGGCAGAAGGATCTTACAATGTCTCGATGAACGATTTGGGCGTTTCAGTGGGGAATGACTTGTTGCAGATCCTCAAGCCTGTATTATACTGGAATGCGAAATGAAGTTAAAAAGAAACTTTAAAAATAACATTTCCAACGTGGAGAATATCAATATTTTCCTCTCCCTCCCCCTCGAATTTGGAGCAAAGCCATATTTTAAAAACCTTGAAATCTTTTGCACAGAAAAAGGACTTCCACCCTCTGCACAGCTCTGTCCTGGAGTAAGTCTGTAGGCGTGTGTTTGGCACGGGTCTGTGTATTTTGACTTGTGCGTGTTCACATTTTAAATGGGGTGCGGGCACGTGTACCCATGCACTTCTCCCTCCCTCTTTTTTGCAATGCTGATGCCAATGTGAGCTTCATTGCTTTTTCATGTGCTTACTGGAAAAAGCAACACGAGCAGGTTGTTTTGGCCAGTGATTAGGTGTGCCTGGCTGCACAGTGCCCTGTCATCAAAGGACGCTACTGGCATTGACTGTGCAATGAAAATAACACTGGGCATGCGAGCAATTAGCCTGTGCCGTAGTGTTTTCTTATACAGCCGGGGCCAACTTCAGCAATGATGTAAATGCTGCTGTTAGTTGCACATTGGAGGTGGGTTGATCGTAAATCAGGTGGAAGACGGTGGAAGTAGCCAAGCAGAGTAGTCTGCACCCGTTCGGTGTAGCGAGGGAGCAGTCAGGCCTAGTGTAAGTGGCTGCGGCTCTCCTGGAAGCGAGCGGTGGTTGTTCCCCACTGCAGCAGGGCTGAATTGCTAGCGGAGTCATCAATGAGCTCTGCTTTTCCTCGCACGTCCTCTCAGCTCCTTCCCCGCTGGAAGGCGCCGAGCTTCAGATCGTTCTGCAGATGGAGCCCCGGGATGCACGTGTGAGCAAGTTACAGAGGCATGCGGAAAAACCTATTCTCCGCGCCGTGCAGAAATGCCTACCTCCTGCTTGTTTGCTTCTTAAGTTTATTCCACGGGACTGGACCGGTCTCAAGGCTGACACCATTTATTGTAGACTGCTTTTTCCCCCGTGCACCATTTGAATTTGCATTGCACCCTCGTTCTGAAGTGAGGTTGTACCGTGACACATTCATTACAATGCTGCCAGACCTGTTACCTCTAGGCTCGCCCCAGAGCTCCAAGATCTGCTGGTATTCAGCTGTAGGGAGTCCGTGCAGGTTTTGCTATTGCAGCTGCAAATCCAAAGAGCAACTTGTAAGAGGACCGGGTCCCCCAGAGGAATGACATGGTGGAGGCTGGGTTGCGTGTGGCAGGACTCTTGCCTGTATGGTCGCTGGTGGTGTGACCTCTTTCCCAACGTAGATAGTGCCCATCATGACTGTTGTGTATTTTGCTGCTTTAAGCCACTTAAGTGGGCTCTTGCCTAGCTCATCCTCCTAGTTCCTTGGCAAGATTAAAAAATGATTAACATCTAATGATCCCCTTCATCAGCTAGTTTAGCCCCAGGCCTTTTGTAAAGACATCTCCTTTTCATCCAGACTCCCTAGAGGTGTTTTAAGCACTGGCAGTGACTCCAGTCATGTGCACTAAGTTGAAACAGTCTGATCCTAATTCTTCTCCCAGTTTCACCAGTACAACCCAGTCCTATTCAAGTCAACAGCTGGGTAAGGGAGCCCCTAAGGGCAGAATAGGGCTGCGTGGTTTCCCCCTTAGTTCTGCTCATTGTCAGCATCTGCTGTTGTCTCCATCTTTCTCAACTGCCTTTGAGGACAGACGAGCCAGTGGTGTTCATCATTTTTGGAAGGTCTCAGCACTGGATAGGTTTAACATGTAGATTTTGTGGGGACGTGGCCAGCCTTCTTTATCTTAGGGCTAGATGAGAGGGGAGGCATTCCTGCAACTTCTTCCTCCTGAGATGGGATCACGGGACAGAAAAGGCTGAGGAGCACGCGGCTAGAAGATTGAAAAGAAGAGAGCAAGAAGGACCCCAGCCCCAAAATTTGGATCGGATGCTTTTGCTGTGAGGCATGCGAACCATGCGCTCGTGTTCTTTGCAGAACGGGAACCGTGGACTTGAAGGCTGCCAGGGCTCAGGGAAATATATTCAAAGTTCATTCGTTTCACACCCCGAGGGGGAAATGAGAGAGGACGGAGAAAGCTCCCTCCATCTTCGAGCCAGACCTGTCTGGGTGGCACATTCCCATCATAAAAAGCTGCTGTTTTGGATGTCTGTGTCAGCCAGAAGTGGCTCACCCCAGAAGTATGCGAGTCCTCATACGCCGGGGAAGGCCTGGCAGATTAGAGCCATTTCACATTCTTCACTCTGCCAAAGGGATATTTTATCAAGATCCTTCTTTTTTTTTTTTCAGCAGACTATTTTCTTTTTGTGCAAACATTAAATGGTCTGAGAGATAAGGAGCAAATTTATACGTGCTCGCACCAAAGCAGCCAAAACACTGGCAGAGAAAAATTCCTCCTCCCCTCCGTCTGCAAACTCCCCCGCCCCACCCGTTTCCTCTCATTCTCTCCAAATTCTCATGGCTCCCACAACATACTTGGCTGTCCAGACTCTTCCTGCTGCAAATCGGGACTTCCAGTAAAGGCGCAGGATCTGTAAGGCTGCGGTGGAGGAGAGGTTAAGAGAGTTCACCACATAAGTCACTCGCACAGAACCGGGCCTGAGGATCTGGGGCAAAGTCTGTGCGCAAGATTGGGGTCCATAATTCTGTGCACAATAGATGTGAAGCAATAGGATGCTCTTCCCACCACTACTTCCCAATAGGATGAAGCTGGCCAGTATAAATGGATGAAGTCCCTTGCCTTCTGCAATGGGACGACTGGCTTGTAAGCGAGGCAGCTGCCTAGACCCGGGACCTAGTTAGGAATATTTAGGAAGACGTTGCTTTCCCTTGGGTTTCAGTATCTTCATGGGTGAAGGACCTGTATAATATTCAGAATAACAGAGCCGGTG